GTTTTTTCAGTTGGAGTTGTATTTTTTCGTTGCAGGGGCTTATGATTTATATGCTCAGGACTGTTGATTATTTTAGTTGGGTTGTAGATTTTCTGTCTTTAGTCTTTTTATTAAGATGTCTAGGGCTCTTACGTATTCAGTTGGAGTTTTTAATTTATCGTCTTGAGTGCTTATTGATTATGTGCTCAGACTCTTAGTTATTTCAGTTTTAGTTTTAATTTAAATTTTTGTTGCAGTGCTTGATTTTTTATGATGCCAGATTTGCGTTTTCTTGAGTTTTGATTTTTCTTCGTTTTGGGGTTGGGTTTTTTGATGATTTTTCGGGCTTTATTTTATTTTTGGAGTTGTAGATTTATTTTTGAGTGCTTTTATTTATATGCCAGGCTCTTTTACGTTTTTTCATTTAGGGATTTATCGTTTTTGAGTGCTTGATTGTATTGATGATGTCTCAGGACTGCTTGACGTTAATTTCAGTTGGAGTTGTAGATTTATCTGTTCGTTGTAGTGCTTGATTGTATTGATGAATGTCTCAGGACTGCTTGACGTTATTTCAGTTGGAGTTGTAGATTGATCTGTCGTTGCAGTGGTTGATTGTATTGATGATGTCTCAGGACTGCTTGACGTTATTTCAGTTGGAGTTGTAGATTTATCTGTCGTTGCAGTGCTGATTGCTATTGATGATGTCTCAGGAACTGCCTTGACGTTATTTCAGTTGAGTTGTGATTCTATCTTGTCGTTGCAGTGCTTGATTGTATGATGATGTTTCACAGGACGTGCTTGACGTTTTTCAGTTGGAGTTGTAGATTTATCTGTCGTTGCAGTGCTTGATTGTATTGATGATGTCTCAGGACGCTTGACGTTCATTTCAGTTGGAGTTGTAGATTTATCTGTCGTTGCAGTGCTTGATTGTATTGATGATGTCTCAGGACTGCTTGACGTTATTTCAGTTGGAAGTTGTAGATTTATCTGTCGTTGCAGTGCTTGATTGTATTGATGATGTCTCAGGACTGCTTGACGTTATTTCAGTTGGAGTTGTAGATTTATCTGTCGTTGTAGTGCTTGATTGTATTGATGATGTCTCAGGACTGCTTGACGTTTATTTCAGTTTGAGTTGTAGATTTATCTGTCGTTGCAGTGGTTGATTGTATTGATGATGTCTCAGGACTGCTTGATGTTATTTCAGTTGGAGTTGTAGATTTATCTGTCGTTGCAGTGCTTGATTGTATTGATGATGTCTCAGGACTGCTTGACGTTATTTCAGTTGGAGTTGTAGATTTATCTGTCGTTGCAGTGCTTGATTGTATTGATGATGTCTCAGGACTGCTTGACGTTTTATTTCAGTTGGAGTTGTAGATTTATCTGTCGTTGCAGTGCTTGATTGTATTGATGATGTTCTCAGGACTGCTTGACGTTATTTCAGTTGGAGTTTTGTAGATTTATCTGTCGTTGCAGTGCTTGATTGTATTGATGATGTCTCAGGACTGCTTGACGTTATTTCAGTTGGAGTTGTAGATTTATCTGTCGTTGCAGTGCTTGATTGTATTGATGATGTCTCAGGACTGCTTGACGTTATTTCAGTTGGAGTTGTAGATTTATCTGTCGTTGCAGTGCTTGATTGTATTGATGATGTCTCAGGACTGCTTGACGTTATTTCAGTTGGAGTTGTAGATTTATCTGTCGTTGCAGTGCTTGATTGTATTGATGATGTCTCAGGACTGCTTGACGTTATTTCAGTTGCAGTTGTATATTTATCAGTCGTTGCAGTGCTGGACCCTATTGATGATGACGCAGGAGTGCTTGACGTTATTTCCGTTGCAGTTGTGGATTTATCTGTCGTTGTAATGCTGGACCCTATTGATGATGTCTCAGGACTTATTAATTTTATTTCAGTTGCAGTTGTAGATTTATCTGTCGTTGTAGTGCTGGTCCCTATTGATGATGTCTCAGGACTGCCTTGAGGTATATTCAGTTGGCAGTTGTGGATTTATCTGTCGTTGTAGTGGCTGGGACCCTAATTGATGATGAACACAGGACTGCTTGACGTTATTTCAGTTTGCAATTGTTAGATTATCTGTCGTTGTAGTGCTGGAACCCTATTGAATGATGTCTCAGGACTGCTTTGACGTTATTTCAGTTGCAGTTGTAGATTTATCTGTCGTTGTAGGTGGCTGGACCTATTGATGATGACAGAGGACTGATTGATCGGTTATTTCAGTTGCAGTTGTAGATTTATCTGTCGTTGTAGTGCTGACCCTATTGATGATGTCTCAGGACTGCTTGACGTTATTTCAGTTGCAGTTGTAGATTTATCTGTCGTTGTCAGTGCTGGAACCTATTGATGATGTCATCAGGACTGCTTGACGTTATTTCAGTTGCAGTTGTAGATTTATTCTGTCTGTTGTAGTGCTGACCTATTGATGATGACAACAGGACTGCTTGACGTTATTTCAGTTGCAGTTGTGGTATTTATCTGTCGTTGTACCAACGTGCTGGTATCCCTATTGATGATGATCACAGGAATGCTTGACGTTATTTCAGTTGCAGTTGTAGATTTTATTATCTGTCGTTGTAGTGCTGGACCCTATTGATGATGTCTCAGGACTGCTTGACGTTATTTCAGTTGGCAGTTGGTAGATTTATCTGTCATTGTAGTGCTGGATTCTATTGATAATGTCACAGGACTGCTTGACGTTATTTCAGTTGCAGTTGTGGATTTATCTGTCGTTGTAAGTGCTGGACCTATTGATGATGTCTCAGGACTGCTTGACGTTATTTCAGTTGCAGTTTGTGGATTTATCTGTCATTGTAGTGCTGGACCCTATTGATAATGTCTCAGGACTGCTTGACATTATTTCAGTTGGAGTTGTAGATTTATCTGTAGTTACAGTCATTGAGTGTATTGATGATGTCTCAGGACTGCTTGACGTTATTTCAGTTGCAGTTGTGGATTTATCTGTCGTTGTAGTGCTGGACCCTATTGATGATGACACAGGACTGCTTGACGTTATTTCAGTTGCAGTTGTAGATTTATCTGTCGTTGTAGTGCTGGACCCTATTGATGATGACACAGGACTGCTTGACGTTATTTCAGTTGCAGTTGTGGATTTATCTGTCGTTGTAGTGCTGGACCCTATTGATGATGACACAGGACTGCTTGACGTTATTTCAGTTGCAGTTGTTGATTTATCTGTCGTTGGTAGTGCTGGACCCTATTGATATGATGTTCTCAGGAGTGCTTGACGTTTATTTCAGTTGCAGTTGTGGGATTTATCTGTCATTGGAGTGCTGGACCCTATTGATAATGTCTCAGGACTGCTTGACGTTATTTCAGTTGGCAGTTGTGGATTTATCTGTCATTGTAGTGCTGAACCTACTAATGATGTCTCAGGACTGCTTGACGTTATTTCAGTTGCAGTTGTGGTTTTATCTGTCGTTGTAGTGCTTGGACCCTATTGATGATGACAACAGGACTGCTTGACGTTATTTCAGTTGCAGTTGTGGATTTATCTGTCGTTGTAGTGCTGGACCCTATTGATGATGACACAAAACTGTTTGACGTTATTTCAGTTGCAGTTGTAGATTTATCTGTCGTTGTAGTGCTGGACCCTATTGATGATGAAACATCACTGTTTGACGTTATTTCAGTTGCAGTTGTGGATTTATCTGTCGTTGTAGTGCTAGAACCTATTGATGATGACACATGACTGCTTGACGTTTTTTCAATTGCAGTTGTGGATTTATCTGTCGTTGTAGTGCTGGACCCTATTGATGATGTCTCAGGACTGCTTGACGTTATTTCAGTTGGAGTTGTAGATTTATCTGTTCGTTGTAGTGCTGGACCCTACTAATGATGTCTCAGGACTGCTTGACGTTATTTTAGTTGGCAGTTGTTGGTTTTATCTGTCGTTGTTGTGCTGGACCCTAATGATGATGACACAGGATTGCTTGACGTTATTCCAGTTGCAGTTGTGGATTTATCTGTCGTTGTAGTGCTGGACCGTATTGATGATATCTCAGGACTTATTGATTTTATTTCAGTTGCAGTTGTAGATTTATCTGTCGTTGTAGTGCTGGATCCCTATTGATGATGTCTCAGAAACTGATTGACGTTATTTCTTCAGTTGCAGTTGTGGATTTATCTGTCGTTTAAGTGCTTAGACCCTATTGATGATGACACATGAACTGCTTGACGTTATTTTCAGTTGCAGTTGTGGATTTTTATCTGTCGTTGTAGTGCTGGACCCTATTGATGATGTCTCAGGACTGCTTGACGTTATTTCAGTTTGCAGTTGTAGATTTTTTATTTGTCGTTGTAGTGCTGGACCTTATTGGGTGATGTCCTCAGGACTGCTTGTGGTTTATTTCAGTTGCAGTTGTTAGATTTATCTGTCGTTTGTAGTGGCTGGACCCTATTGATGATGACACAGGATTGCTTGACGTTATTTCAGTTGCAGTTGTAGATTTATCTGTTGTTGTATAGTGCTGGACCCTATAGATGATGACACAGGACTGCTTGACGTTTTTTCAGTTGCAGTTGTAAGAGTTATCTGTCGTTATAGTGCTGGACCTATTTGATGATGTCTCAGAACTGCTTGACGTTATTTCAGTTGCAGTTGTAGATTTATCTGTCGTTGTAGTGCTGGACGCCTATTGATAATGTATCAGAACTGCTTGACGTTATTTTCAGTTGCAGTTGTAGATTTATCTGTCGTTGTAGTGCTGGACCCTATAGATGATGACACAGAACTGCTTGACGTTATTTCAGTTGCAGTTGCAGATTTATCTGCCGTTGTAGTGCTGGACCCTAAGGACGTTGTCTCTAGACTGCTTTTTTGGGAAACCCCGTTTTTAATTGTTGAAAAAGGGGTTTTGTTTCAAAAACTGGACTGTATGGTGATGTCTGAGGGTTTCCCTTTTAGGGCCCTACCCGTTTGATTGGGAAAGACTTTATCTTTTGGGAGTAATGTTTCTGCATTGATATGACTCATGATTAATTGTAAATTTTTTAGTTTGATTTGTTTGGGTGTCTAATCAAAATTATCGAACCCCTTTTTTATAACACACAGCTTCCCTCAGTAAAAAAAAAGGCTTTTTTTTTTTTTCATTCTGAAAAATATCATAAATTCATTAAAAGCAACAATTTGGTTTTTTTTTTTTGTTAATCTTTGCGTAATATAAAGAAAAACTAAATGCCGCTTTTTAAAAGCAAGTAAGGGTTTTGGGAAAAGAAGGGGAAACTCCTAAATTTTAAAAAAACTTTTTAAACCAAAAACATTTATGAATAAAAACTTTTTTTTTTTTATTTTTTTTTAAAACAAAGAGGAAATTTAAAAATTTTTTTAAAAAATGAAAAAAATTTCTGGTCATTATTATTGAAGCAGTTCGGTATAAAAGTTGTGCTGCATTCAATTCTGCCAAAATGTGCTTCTTCAGAGGTATAGGTATTTGTGTGAGCAACTTTGCAAGAATGTTCTTGTGTTTTTTTTCTGATTTAACATATAAGTATACAAGAAATGATAACAAATTGAAGATATTTTAATAATATGGCATCGGTTTGGTTATTTAAACACTAGTTTTTCAAAGGCCTCTTATGCCTCAGAAATTCCATTTTTTTATTTCTCAAAAACTGTTTATTTTTGGTGTCTTGTTATGGTTTCCAAAGACATACTGATTTGGTATATTCATTAACTATCTTCGGTACAAATATAATGAATTAGTATATATTGTATGGATGTCAAAATACTACTTTGTTATCATTTCGATACCTTTAGGACACATAACTGCATGTTCAGCGCTACTTCTTACATCAAACATTCGCTTAGTCCACACATGTTTGAATGTTTGATAACTTTAAAAAATTAAAAATATATAGATTTACGAGGCATAATGTGACTTTAAATAAAAAACGAGATGTCCATTTGTATTTCAGTTGATCAGGAAAACGTGTAATTTCGCCAAATGTAGAGCAATAAAAGGAAACAGCTGACTTCGTTCGAATATAGTTTCTCAATGCCAACATACCTCACAAATTTATTCTCCCTCATAAACAAGCAAGCAGCAAGCAAAAAAAAAAAAAAAAATAGAGAGAAAGATACAATAACAAAAATAAGTAAATAAAAATGAATAAATATGTTAATACAAATGTAAATAAATACATAAATAAATGCATACATAAATAAATAAACAAATAAATAAATGATTAAATGAATAAAAGAATTAATAAATAAATAAATGAATAAATGAATGAATTAATTAATAAATAAATAAATAAATAAATAAAATAAATAAATAAAATATATTTGAATAAAAAAACGAAAAAAACAACAATTAAAAAAAAAAAAAAAAAAAAAAAAAAAAACCAAAAAAAAAAACAACAAAAAAACAAAAAGAAAAAAAAAAGAAGAAAATAATCATTTATCAGATACATGAGATCAAATACTGTGATGTCTAATTCGTGCCATATATCACATACGCATTCAGATTGAAATATGGATCGAACGAATTTTAGACTTTTGTAAAAGCCATCAAGAAAACCATTAAATAAATACCCCACAGTGACACTAACCTTATTCCTACGAAAGACCGGTAGGCCATTTCAACTTCGTGAATTCACGATTTCAACTTCATATATTCACGATTTCAACTTCATGAATTCCAGATTTCATCTTCATGAATTCACGATTTCAACTTCGTGAATTCTTGAAGTTGAAATCGTGAATTCGTGAAGTTGTAATCGGGAATTCAAGAAGTTGAAATGTCCCCAACGGTCTTTCGTACTTACCCAACCTATCATTCGCTTTACCGCCAGCAGCGCACATAAATTTTACGCATGCGTTTTTATTAAAAAACGCCCCGTTTAATACAGATAATAATTCTTAAGTTTCGTCCTCCTTACCATATTTAATTTATTACAATAAAACCGTAAATTACATTTCGCTATAAATAACTACACAATCAC